GTGAAAACGTGTCGATTTTGAAAAAAAATTATAAAAGCTTAAAAACAACAACAACAAAATCTTTTAGCTATCGTGCAATGTAATTAATTCATCAAAAGCAACAGCTACATACTATCTGGCATGTCGCATGTAGGCATATTCATATATTTATACATTACCAACGTCTGAGGAAAATRATAAAAAATTATCTATTTTAAAATATTGTGTGAAGTAACCAATTTTCAAAATATTATTTTAACTTCTATCTCTAGAYCTATTATTGTATAATACTTAGAGCTGAGGAATTAATTTATATTTTTTTAGAAAATTCGCAGAAAAAAAAGAATGATGTATAATTGATGTATTTCATAACACAAGAAAGTTATATTTAAAATTATATTGTACCTACATATTTTCACATACTTTGTCATTATCGCATATATTATTGTTCATTCGAGTACTTGTAAATTAGACACATCAAAAGCTTAATACACATTTGGAAAATTTTGATATTTGAAAATACAATGACATAAAAAACTGTTTCAAAAAATTATTTTTCAAATGTGTACCTTATGTATGAATTGTATAATATTAATAAGTATTATCGGTTAGGTTTTTAGTTACATATTAGTACTAACCTATTTATAGTTTATACGCTAAGATAATTTTCTGTAATATATTTCTATTATTATAAAGTGAAAAAAGAAAGTGAAGAAGAAGACGAAAGCAATTATTTTTTTCAAGTTTTAATTAAAGAAAATTTATTTTTTACTTATTTTATTTTCATATAAATAATAAATATTCATTATACTATAATTCAGGTGCCAACTATACTTTATAATTAATTTTTTCTACTACTAGAAGCCTTAATAATTATATTATTAGGTAGGTACCTAATTTACAATATACACAATAGTGACTAAAATAGGTAGGTACTGTTGATTCATCAAAAATTAATTATATATTATCAGACAAACGACGGTCGTTTGCACTACTACTGCTATAACTTACACACATGACACATATCATTATTATACGGCTGCAGCCTGCAACCAGATTGAGCACAGTTTACTTTTCTTRCAAGTTACAACCTTGTCAAGTACAGATCCAACCAAACAATAGGAAGCTGACAAAATACTAAAATACGAAATGTTAAGCATAGAATACGTGCAAYGTTTGCCGTATTCATTTCTTTTTTTCAATGTATAATAATATATCGAAGTAAATTATTGTATAACTATGGCAAAAATAATATTTAAAAAAAAATAAAATAAAATTTTGTACAGATTTCAATATCATAATACTGTTGGGTTTTTTGTGAATTGTGCATAAAAATTCCAGAAACGTTGAGTTAACGATGAATATACAGCGCAGTTATGGCTAATAGTTATAATTAAGTTATACTAAACTGACACTGAAAAAAATCAAATTCGACGTTGGATCGCAGTGTATTACCTTAAAATTCACAAAGATAAAATATAGGCAATAGGATTTTGTGAAAAAACGTATCAAGTTAATTTTTAAGGCTGTAATATTACTCCTTTGTTTTGTAGATACTTAATTATTGTAATAGTATATGATTATTATTATGCGGACATAACAAAATAAAATAATAATACTGACAATGAATGCTAAAAATTGACAGCGCTGCTCGAAGTTAGAATATTTTTTTTATGCTCAACCGGATTGTTATAAAAAGAAAAATGGACAATGCTCAATCGGAGATCAGCATGTCACCGATCATATTATTATATTACATACATTATTATATCATGCAGAAAGAGACGTGTAATATTTTTTACGGAGGTGTTTCGTTCTTGATTAAAATCGAATATTTAGAAAACAGAGAATATAAACGCGACTAAAGTATAAAACCGATTAAAGTTAATGTGTTTAAACTTTATAAAGTCTTTATCGTCTTTTGCGTTGTCTAAAAACAAGTGATACCGTCTCTATAAAGTAAAAGGGACCAGCTCGGATTACAAAGATAAAAATAAAAGCTTTTTTCCAAATAATGTGTATATGTAGTATACGACTGGGCCGTTTTTCTAGACGACTTTTCCGTCGTCGCCAGTCGCCACAGTTATATAAATGACTGCTTTGACAATATTACGGTCCGTATAATAAATAATATGAGTTCTGAAAATATATCCGTCTTCTATTGAATCGTTCATTAATACAATGAAATAAAAATCGTTATGATGTTATTCTATAAACACAATGCAATAATAATAATTAATAACAAACGGGGTTTTTTTTTTAAGAAATAAGCAGTGAAAACAAATATTATTTGTTTTTTTGTCGTTAAACTATAAAACTCCATATTATTATAAATAATATATAGATACAATTTATTAATCGTTCGGAAAAGAATCACTTACAGTATTATATTCATTACCAAATCAAACGGTTCTAAAGTCAAAAACTGAGTCTTATTAGGTTATACCAACAATAAATATAAGCAAATATAACACAAAAAACATCAAATTAAATTTTCTTGATTTTTTTTTTAGATCTACACATTGATTTTACAACTTCATAACCTGATATAAATACTTGATATTGAATTTTATGCTTTATGGTGAAAAAATAAATATATGAGAAATTGAGTGAACTGTAAAGATAAAATGCGCAGTAACGAACTCGTAAAGGTCCAAATTGGATATGGATTTATTGCTGCATAATATTAARTTATTTTTATTAAAACATAATTTCCCTATATAGCATATCATAATGGAATTGTGTTTGTGTTGTGTGAATGTCTGTGTGTTAGGGTCGTAATAATTGGGGTGCAAGTCTGCATGGCATATTATGCGGGGRCAGCATTAATACAATATTCATTTCATTTTAATAAATGTCATTTAATAATTTTTGTTAATTAAGTCGCGTTCTAGAACATTTAATTACATCTTGTGTAGAAATAATATTATTTTCTAAACTTATTATTACTATTATAACTTTACATTTTAGTTATTAACTGTAGAAGATTTTTTTTAAGTTAAGGTTTCAACACATCTTAGGTCATAGCCTGCTGTTTGTAAACACGTGATAATATGTGTGATAAAGATTTACCTCTAAAAACGCGGGTGATTACCCGTCCGAGAACTAGTGTCGCCACTCGCCAGCTGGTGTTAGCACTCAGGTCATATCAGTGACTGAAGCTAGACACCAAGTCGCAATTGAAAAATTAAACGTGTCTCTTGTTTTAAATTATTATGTATAATAATAATTGCATTAAATTATTCGAAAACTAATTATTTTGTTTTGTATTAATAAAATGGTTTACATTTAAAATCATCGTATAGAACCTATACAGAATCCATAGCAACTTTATAACAATAATGTCATAAATTATTGTAAATTTATACATTTCGATTTCTAACAAATTCGATAAAAATGARAAATGATTATCTCATATCCGTTACCAATTATTACGAAYGATAGGTACTCCACGGATATTTTCAACCAAGTGGTTGTAACAATATTTTATTGGGAAAACTATATAAGTACTATAAAATCAATCACACGAACGATCCCCTGCAGTATTTGTGCGTGTTGATAACATGACTACTTGACTTTGGGTGCAGGACAATCGTATATGAAATCCTCGTTTTATTGCAATAAGCCTCAAGGGGAGAACATGGCTGTACTCCGCTGATAATGCAATTTTTCGCAGTAGACTGTTCCAGTGGATTATATAGTGGAAATAAAATATTACTCTTTACACTACGCATAGTCGATAAAGGTGACTTTTTATAATTCTAATTGATTTTTACGAATTACTTAACTACAAACGTTGTCAACACCAAATAGACTAATTTGCATTTAAGTCGATGAACTGACTGTTAAATATAATTAGAAGGCTTTCATATAAAAATGTTTCCAGAAATCTTCAAATATCCCTAAAGATCATAATAGGTATACGTTTAAATAATAAATGGTTAAAAATCCGAATTTCTAAAGACTTTTAATTTTCTAAATATTGTAAATATAATTTATTATACGCAATGATTGCAACCATGTATTCTATAGTTTTTCAAAATTATTTTTCACGCACCTTATACGATCATATACTGACAGGATTTTATTAAAACACCAAAACTTCCTTTGATTTCTAAGATTACAATATTAATTTCTTTATTTGTATATTATTTTTTATCCTATTATATTTTATAACAACATGTAATATTGTAGGTTTTTATACCTAACAAGAGTATTAATAATAATGGTATTTATTTATTTTTAATGTTTTTCATATCCTTAATTTTTTTTTTTTGATTTAATTAAAATAACGAAATTTCAATTTAGTAGCAGTGATTTATAATTTTAAGAGCTAACATTTTTACTCAATTYAAATAAGCTACTTTAAATGAGCGATTTCGTGTATAAATCTGGCCAATAGGCAATAATATTGGATTTATAACTTTAGGTAGTCAAATCACATRTTACAGACAATTAAAACACTAAATTCTTACCATACATTTTTACTTCACTTGTAGTTGACCATTACCGTTATTGATATATATTTTAATTTCTAGACCACTTTATGTGCTGTACGTTTGTTCAACCAAATTCGTAACAATTTGTGATAAATAGAAACAAATTTATATGAATATTATAAGAATCTATAAGACTCAAAAGTGAAGAATATGTAAAATACAATAAACATGCATTGTAGACAGATATAGTACCTAGATTATGATATTTTTACAAATCATTTTAGTCAAATTTAAAATTTGTTTTTCGTAATACTTTGAGATAAATGCTATGCCTGAAATATATTTAAAGTATAAACAACTTTCAACGAAAGACAACGAAAATGATCCTTATCACCCGTAGAAGACACGTTACATTATACTCAATTCCATCATGTTGCAAGTTTGTTGTACCTACATAATTCAATTTGTAGAAGCTTTCTCATAAGATATTCATTACATTAGAATTCCTTATATATTACATATATCCACGTTTTATTGTCRACACAAAAACTTTTCGCCAATAAATTTAAACAATAAACTTACCCCTGAAATATTCGTAGAACTTTGTTCTTGACAATGCTAGCCCACTCTGGCAGTGTTGGTGCCATAGCGATGTTTTCTGGGCTGTACCGCGTATAGGTATTATGATGATGTTATCCATACTGTAACATTTCAATTTTCATAAAAATTAAAACATTTTTTATATACTTTTTGCTTATTATATTCAATTAACATTAAACGTATAACTTTCAAAAATTAAAAATAAGACTATTATTGCTATTACCTAAAATATTCAATAAATAAAACTACTAATCAATCATATAATTTTAAAATATACAATAGTAATTAAAAAATTTGAAACAAAGCAAACGGGACTTTCAAAATGTACTGTAAAATCTTGAAAATAAATATAATACATATGATAAATTTAAAAACAAAAATAAATTAATCATTTATACTTAAATATTGTATAATATATACTAGGTACCTATATTATTTTATACCCGGTTAGAATAACTGAAAGGATTTTAATATTTATGCAATTATGCGATTATATCTAAAATACATTAAAAATATGTTATTTATAATTTACAAACGACATAATTTACAAATTTATATATAATTATTTCATTTTTTTTTTCTAATAATAATGTACTTTTTATAATAAGATACCTATGTACAATAACTACAAAATAAATTTTAATTCAACTTT